GCACCGAGGACCTATCCACGTCATTTACCCAGAATGGTTTGCGTGTAAATAAAATGGCCCCGTCCGTGTAATATATTTTAAAACTTTTAGATTAAAAATGATAAAAACTGAACAGCCTACAGTATTTTTACAGTCTTTATTTTACAGTTAAAACATTTGTTTATCCAATAAAGTTTAATGTTACAACCAATCAGGGATCCCTTTAACAAACGTGGCCCAACACAACCCCCTCGTGTTACATGTCATTTCAGACATGGCRTCAAGGTGAAAAGAAAGGCGTCTCAGGCCTGGCTGGAAAGCGTTCTGAGAAAGATGTTTATGGCTCTGTAATATGATCACAAAGACCATTTCCTCTTTAAAATATAAACAAATCAATTGTGTTGTACCCCTGAACAGCTTTCAAACTCTGCTGAAGATGCATTCTTCCTATTATTCCACTCAACTTGGCAAATCTGCATACATTACAGCAGATGTATCCATCAACCAGATCAAATGTTGACTCAGAATCACCAGTTACACAGAAAAGACTGCACCTCACTACCAATTAGGCCTAATTGACACTGCGATGTCCAGACTCCAATTAAGACTGATGCCCTCTGATGACCTTGGTAAAATGTCAAGATAGTCATTTACAACTGACTTAACTGATGCTGTATATCTGACAGCTGATAATATCTCTAAACTTTCAGCTAGAATGCAGAGAAGACAATCCWTATTATCTTGTCAAAATTACCTAATGAGCTGATGAAGCTTAAATAGGTAAATTATATAATTCCACACCAGCTAGGAGCCTAATCTGCAGTATGTCATGGCAGACCACAGGCTGGGAATCATGACTTCAGTGAGTAAAATGTTTTGGAGAATCCTGTGGTCCAAAATTAGGAGAGAGGGAAACCTCAAAAAGTACTGGAGAAACCAGTAAGTAGGACAGAATAATGGTCAGAGAAAGGAAGTAGAACAGAAGAAACAAATAAGTGAGTCATTTCAGTGCTGTTACTGTAAAAACCCACATCTGATGACTTCATGTGTAAAACAMAACAAAGCCTTATTAGGACCACTGTGCCCACACGGCCCTGTGTATCAAACAGAAAACACTGACAGGTGGGAACTCAACACAACCCATCTCTTGTGTGTTTCCTCGCACAAGCCCACCATCAGCATCACTTCACCTCCCTTCAGCCCACTCTTTCCCCTGTYCCACTCGCCCCCTTCAGAGAGGTAGTCTTCAGGCAGAAGAATGTGGTGCCTTTTTTTTTTTTTCACGGCGTGTGCGTGTTGCCTCATGCCCACCCCAGGGTTCTCACGACGTCCCGTCTTGTTTTTAACCCTAATTAGTGACTGCTGGCAGTTTGGAAACAGATGTTTAAAACCCTGCAAAAGATTTTAGACTTCAAACAGCGGGGCGGAAAGTAGAAAGAGATTCGCCCTTCCTTCCCTCCCCTCTCCTCTGCTCTAACTCCTCCAACTTCTTTTCAGCAAGACTTGGAGGAAAATGATGAAAAATACAAATCATTTTGTTGTGTATTTTTGTAAATTTAAATCTATTATATTTCTTAAGACAAAAATACAACAAAAAAATTGACAATTTAAAATTTAGTGATTTTTACTGTTCWTGAAAAATACAAACGTACAAACATACTTTCCCATTCTACGTTTCTGCAACGCATTTCAGCCAGCGTGAAAGCAATAAACAACTCTATTCAGTAGCTGTAACTGAAACATCTATTGACAATAAATTYCTTGATTACTTCCATTGCTCTCCAAGTAATCTCATCCATTGTTTATAGAGCTCACTACACAGCGAATGCTTGGCAGGCGTCTTTGTGTTCATGTTGCAGAGCTAGGAGCCATGTCGAGGCTCTGTCGAATCCTGTCTGTTCATTAGGCAGGTGGTGACAGTGCAGACTACACAACAGTCTGCTGTGTTACTGGCAAGCAGCATCTGGTAATTACAATTTACCACCAGGGCCTGACTTTGGGGGAGTAAGAAGAGATTGGCTGCAACTTTTTTAAGAGGGCAGCAATCCAGTCCAGCCCCTTTTATCTGGGAGTCATTTCTGCATTTTGCATCCTAACGGCTGAAAAATGCACTTGAAAACAACTGGACGTTTGAGACATTCATGTTGTTGGCAGTCCTCATATTCATGATGTCGTACATGCAGTCTTACGCAGACACGTGACTTCTACCTCTTCAGAAAAAAAACCCAAGAAGAAGCCATACAGAGAGAGAAGCTCAAAAATGGACGCTGACCTCAAATAGTCATATGAGTTAGCAGCTAAATCTAGCTAAGACATAGACAACCGATCCTGCGCCATTTCCACTCATTCATTTACATATTACCAACGGCACAAGCTACATTATGGCACATAGAACAACATATGAATTACAAAATGTTAACTGTTGCATCACAGACCAGCGAAACAATCAAAGCATATGAAAAAACATTCTACTTACATTTAAACAAACATGCATGTTTGCAAATATGTGATTGAATGTCATATCCATGTGCTTGACAGCTGCAATCCAGGCTAACCTGCGTCTCTGGCTAATATCTTTCATTTGCAGCCCACAATCCTTTCTACAGATGGGGAACCTGAAAATATTTTATACCAGARTGTCTCTTTTTAATCAAACAGTGTTTTGTACACCAACGAGCCAGTTCTTAAAGTGCCGATATTATGCRTTTCTCAGGCATACATTGAAATACTATACCATAATAAAGTATCTATGTCACCTTTAGCTGTTACTAAAATGCAGTTTTTAATGTTTAAATAGAAAATAAGCTTATCTTTTCATCACTTCCTCTTCTAAACGCCTTGAAATTGGCCTCTGTCTCTTTAAGAAGCACCTTCCACTT